ATTCTCATAAAACCTTTCCGTGTAATCCGCATTAAGGGTCTCACCCAATAGCTGATAGAATAACTTCCTACAGCACGCAATGGCCACAAACGAGTGGACCAATGGTAAATCGGGTACGTGGGGCAGTCCACCGAAGTTAGCCATTCTGGGTTAACTAAATCTATACTACCATAGATTTTACCCCATACATAAACGATAGCGCTTTTTATTGCAATGAGATATCGAAAATTCAACCATATTCCGTTGTAGGTGTTTACGTAATTTTCGTCTACTTTACGTAGGTGCACGACGGCAAGATTTATCAGAATAATCGAAGACCAGTACCTATATTTGGCTAAATCAATACAGGTCAGAATGAATCGTTTTGCGAACGCGATAACGTGTTAAGCACGAAGCCACATTGCCATAATACAACCCGTAGAATTACCTAATACATTGCGACTAAGAGAATAAAAACAAAATGAACAAAATCTTGTGGGCTAGCGATCAACGTGGCCGTTGACTGACCTATTGCGGAATAATTAGCAGGACACGCTAGTCAATTCCGCACTGACCCAATTAAGTCGATCGATTTACAGTCAGCCCAACTAAGATCTCTCAACGAAAAATCGACAAATAACTTTTTTTTTTTAAATAAACTACCTATCTTGTTTGACACTGTGATAAAACGACAGGGCCACCCCAGGCTGGATATTCTAAGCGAGTATTATAAAATCTGACCCATACAATGCCATTCTACAAATTAAACGGACTCTACTACGCAGTACTATACGATATAGTGAAATAACAATACTTGCCAAGGCTAAAGTAACACCGCTTCACACGAAGAGCGTAAATTAGTTAATTAATAACTAATTTACTCCCTTCGTTAAATGTTTGCTCTAGCGGACAAGGCGACGTTGACTCTCCGATGCATGGGTACTACCTCGGGGGTAGTACGGCGTCATCATGATTAGTACACTATGTGATTTTAACACGATATACTTGTCTATATTTGGACCGCATGCTGTTTCGACAACTCTCTGAATAACTGTTATATAGGTCTTTTATTTGTCTGCATCCATCTTAGTCATGTCCGTTATAGCCTTACTAGTCGTACTGCTATATATATATAAGAATATTGTCCAGCTTTAATTTTCTTCGAAAGGTGCAAATGGAGCATTAACGGACGTGCTTTATTTTCGCTGCTAACAACTACATCATACGCTCACAATACTGCACAAGGTTTTTGAGGACCAGGCAGATACGGCTTCGCGATAGACACAATCAACGTATAGAATATAACATGGGCTTAAAAGCATAATCGTTTGTGTATCGTTTCATAGGCGAGCCCAAACCAGACGGAACTGATGAACCTAGGTCAAAAACCAAGCTTTCACGGTACTTTTCAACCTTCGGGGGACTTTATGTTATGAATTCTTGTCGGGTACCTATAGTCAGGGTTTTTTTCAAATCAGAACATTTACCAAAATGTTCTGATTTGAAGTTTGAAAGAACAAGTCACGGGTTTTTCACCGCAGCTTTGCAAAAAAAACTGCAATTTCTGTATCTTGTGTGACCTTTTCCCTTCCCAAAACTCAAGAAACGCCTGAGATAAAGAAGCTATGAGGTGATCAAGAAACTCTAAGGCAAGACAAATTTGACTGAGACCGCAACATGTTTTAACGACCAGAAATGACAGTAACACATGCATTTGAATAAATTTTCCATAAAATATCATTTTCTTCAGTTGACCTGAGTTATGGAGTTAAACAATGGCCATATGTGCTAAATAGATATCTTACAGTCGCTCGAGTAAATCAGGTATTTTCATACTCTGTGATAGTCCCATAAAAGACTTTGACCCAACCGATATTAGTCAGAAATATATCCCCTCCGGAAATTTGCTAAGATCCGGCATAACATTAAACACTTCCATGATATGATAAATCGATTGGCCAATGTTGCGGCTTGTATGAAGCTTCGTTCAAAAGTTCAGAACAAACACTGACAACCAATCCTATTATATACAGAAAATTATAGAAAAATAAATGCAATATATTACAGTCATACATAAAAAAGGAAATTTAACTTACGCTATAAAGCAACTATTTTGAAAAAACATTTCATTCCAGTTGACGTCTATTTGCGCCCCAAGTAGGATCAATGATGAAAAACGCTGGCATCTGACAGATCTGGGTGAAATCAATAAATTCCAAGTCGGAAATGAAAGACCAGAAAGTTCATCAGGTATGCTCTAATTGATACTACGTAGCCGATTCCTTAAAGAAACGTCGTTCGCTTTAGCTGAATCATCTTACTTTGCGATCATTTGAATTTGGATCTATTGGTACCCATATTTCAAATCCTAAACTATAATTATATAATAACAATAATCTCTAATTATGTTATAATAATTTATGGAAAATAGTAAAATTTCAAAAAATCTGTAGCCAATAATTTAGCTAAAATGCCTCTTTACCTTTGGAGTAATCTATAGATTTGATTGGCATAAATAAGTGAGTCATTTTACCCAGACTCGGAGCGCCTCACTAAAAATCAACCAATATTTTTTAACTCTTAAAACTTGACCCGCTTTGCAATAGTTTAGTGTTAACTTTTTTGTTATACAAGTTTATATATACATATTAATCGATTGGATAAAGTGGGCCTCTTTTTAATCTGGCAGAACATTGCCGTGCGCTTCATGGTAGACTAACTTAGATCCTCCAGTGGTCGATGAAAGATCGTAACAATTACCGTATTTTTTGTGAAGCAAATTCCTCGCCCAAAAGGTTGCATCAATAAATTAGCTGATTCTGGCAAGCCAATTAACGAAAATGATATGTATTGGAATCCTTACCGAGGCGCCAAAGAGGGTTAAGGTGCATGAGGCGTTCCACATGCGTCCCGAAGATACTTTGTTATCGGAACTCATTTGTTAAACGTAGTTAGACACCAACACGTTTCGTCAAATACTTATTCTTGTCGAAGAACGGTTCCCTGCCTACACTAGCACTGCTGTGCTGTGCTCCACAGCGGTGCGATTGGCGTCAGGCACATTCAGAGATAAGCCTTTTTTCCTCAAACACAAAACCTGTTCTTTGCACTTCGATGTCTGTCCTTCATCTTTGTCTTCTGCTGCGATTTACTTTCAGCTGCTTAGCAACGAATGAATGCTGAGAAAGAACGAAAACGAGGCGGGTAGCTAAACTCCGATGAAAACAAATAACCGTACAAAAAAGTTCCGCTTCTTTTAGGCTAAACATCGAAACAACATTCCACTCGCTCGGCAGAATGTTTACATTTTAAATTAAGATAGCATATTAGAAAAAAATGTAGACGCCTTCGCTACAACAACGTTGTGACTTGCATAGAAGTTCTCCATGTTCAACTTCACAGGAGTTAAAGGTCGAATACGTTTCTGCTTTGCCTGTAATTTACTGTCGTTGGTCGCATATCTGGTGTGGCGTTGCTAGAGGAGCGGTCGCGACAAAAAAACCCGCTGTCATCCCAATTTTTTGGTAACTCTTTAACGCGACCAGATCGCTTTCACCCTTACCGATTGACGTTACCGCAGTAGCCGGCACAAATGGACGCACCAGATATTATAGACACGCCCAAGTGGATAAGGCTGGTCGCACAATCGATGACCACCACCAAAAACAGAGAGAGAATTGAATAACCACAACCATTTTTTGACTGTGGTTTACGAGTATCAATAGACGGATGCCATAACATAACACCGCTAATGCTGTAAGAGCAGACATTTCGCTACATAACCGCTATCTTTGCTTACATGAAAAGAACTATATTATCTACATGCCACATTTACGCCCTTAAGTCCTTCCTGCGCGTTTGATAGTAACATCGTTTTTGCTTGCCCTGCACACGTTATTAGACTCGAGCGTTGGCGCTCTGCCACCTGTTTTCTACCATCTTTTCCATGGCGTACCCTCCTCTAGCATTTACATTTACATTTAGCCGCCATAATAGAAAATGGTTTTCGTCGTAAGACAATTGAAATAGGATAAATATTCGCTCGGAGAGTCGATACTATGCTAGAAAGTTCTTAGAAAACTCATTTGATCGGGCGCAATGTTTGTTCAACTAATCATTGCGTAATGAATTTCAATTCGTAAATACTTTACAATTTTTTACTTGGAGTAAATAATAGTTCTACGCCTGTACGTAAATATTCAATTAAGTCTCAGAAAAAGTTTCCCATAACTAAACAACTGTTAAAAGCTGCCAATAATAAGTGTCTTCCCCTTACCCATATCCCCAATCCTACAATCGTTGGACTCGTACAACTAACGATGGACTCGTCGTTCGAATTCACCTAACATCTATTCTACCATAATAATCTCAAATATCTAAAGATTAAGAGAAATACATTGCAACGCACAGCTCTGATCATACGCTAGAAACGCAGGCATTTAGAGCAGACAACCAGTAGGCTTGCTACAGCCAATGCTCAGATGGATCAGTCAAACGATACAAAGCTCTGAGAAATACCTGCGATCAGACCAAGGTCGTTACTATTTTTGCAGCTAGAAACATTAATTTCACAGTTCATCCAGTTTCCACGAACATACACGTTCGTCTAGCTGAGCAAAAAATGCTTAGGCTGCCAGCAGCCGGTGCACTTGCAGGTTTTGATAAAGTCGTTGCTGGGGCTTTGCTAGTGTCCATCAGTCGAACCCTTCCTCAAATCACAGGCGTTTCGACCACGCGTCTGATTTCATCGGATGGTTTAGGCAATGGCGCCGGCCGAGGGGGCGGCTCAGGTGGCGCGATTCGTGAGGCGGGCGGAGCGTTCGGCAAACGTGAGGCTGCTCATGAGGAGCAATATTTTAGGAAAAAACAGGCCGAACAACTGAGCCAGTTGCACGATCACATTCAAGACGAGATTCGCGAACTTTGGAAGCAAGTACGATGTCACGAGGAAGCGGTCAAACGGCTTCAGATGAAAATCAACTCGCTCAGGAAGACCAGCACCAGATAGTGACTTGGATGAAATGAAGGCATGAGGTTGACTATAACACAGCGTAATTTGATTGAATTAGTACGTACTCTAATATGCAATGATGGTGATTGAATTGAATGCAATGCTCATGTATATTACAAGTTTCACATTGGAGAAAGTCGGAGCAAAAGTTCAGAGAATTTAAGTTCATTTATCCATCGTCTGGATTAAAATGTAGCACTGGAGAGTGACTGCACTTAGCTGGTAACTTTCACTATGCACTATGATTGTCACGTATGGCTTACAGTTATCTGAGAATTTCATACTTAATCGTTATAGAAGCAGAATTTAAAACTAAATTTGCTTCCAAGGTTGACATTTTCGGTGTGTAACTGCGTTAATCCCGAAAGTTCAGCTAGCAATGTTTCTGTTGAATAGCTCAGAGAATTGAAACGAGGCATCACTCTTATGTACAAAAAAGACAATATGGCGCCTGAAGAGTGAAGCAAGCCTACCGAAGGACAAGAGAAAGGTAACCCACAAACATTCCGTTTGCGGTCGATGCGGGCTAAATCTGAATGAAATTGGGTATGTATCAAGTCGTTTTCTTTGTCAGAATACACACTATGAATGTTTATCTCGTCAGCGAACATGTCAATAACAAGTGTCAAGAACGAAATTTTTTAAATGGTATATTGATCGAAGCGGTTCTATTTAAACCTTAAAAAATACCGAGAACAATAGGAGTGCACTGCCTTTTAAATATTTGTAGTCTAAAAACACAATTCAGAAATAAATTCGAGTTTGCAATAACTGGAATAAGGGTAGAAATATAACAATTAGCTAATCTATGCTAGTGAAATTTAGGTATAAATCAAAGGATCCACTTAGCAAGTACGAAGTCAAAATCCCAACCCATGCTAGGTAACTGTGAGCAAGCGTGCTTGACATAACAGGGAGCCTATCCATTACGGAGGTTATTTTTCGTGTTGAACTCCGAATCTTTGACATACTGTCTTTGTGAATAGAGAATTTCTGGCTTCCCGGTTAGATTTCATATATGTAGTAATATTGACCCATATCTTTGTCACTTTTCAAAAATTCCCGCAAGTGACTGTTTACCGTAAAGCGTGGCTCATCAGAGCCGTACTAGGCTCGTTGTTGTATAGAGCCTCTGTGCGTCACAACTACTCAGGCGAATATAGGACAGACGGATGGATACGGCTTTGCAAGTTTCAGCTCTGCCAACACAGTTCAAGCCAGGCCCGAAGGGAGTTTCGAATGTAGACTGGGTCTTCATAAACAACAGCTCAGCGCAAATTTCAGCTTGACAATAACGATGATTGAAGGAAACTCTTTAAATATTGTGAATTCCGAATACCCACAATAAAAATCGGTTTTATGTGCTTATGTGTTTAGCTACTAAGCTCTATTGATGGCTCGAACTGCTTGACCCATACATCATTGTGAGCACCCAGAACTGGACGACAAAGATGCAGTGAAAAGTGTTCGTTCGAAAAAACAGCTTACTCGCGTTCTTTAGAATTAAACGAATTTGATCACAATCTGAAGTACTGAACAGAAGTGAAGAATATGAATCGGACAAAAGTTTATTCTTCTGTAAAGTTGTGTTTGAATCGTATATTCAAAGTAATATTTCATGAAAATATTGAGCAAGCGCCAAAGCATTTACTCTAACGGTTATCGGATGAATTGTTGCTGAACCACGGTGGTATAAAGATGTAAGAAAATTCAGGTAGAAGCGTGGTCTTTTCACGGTACTTTTCGAACGAATACAAGTCGCTTTCATTTCACACGATATCTAGATAAGCATCACCAGCACAGCGCTGAGGTAGGCATGTTAACAGCTGTTCCAAGTCTATTCCTCGCTCGGTCACGATAACCTTAACAATAAACCATAAATACACTGATTTTACTTACAGACGCTCCAAATACAACAAATGAGTGAGCTGGTACATCCTTGTTCTTACACGAGTCGAAGCGCATGGCCTCACGGAAGAGTGCGAGCATCTGCGGACACAGGGGGGCGCCGACGACTGCCTCAAGGCTTCCACCATCACTGCTTCCATTCTGAGCGCCATTTAAGTAGGCTGCCATTGCTCCTTTTGATGCTGCTGCCGCTGCTGTTGATGCCAATAATTGTGTTGACGCACCTAATGTTACCTCTCCACTGACACTTTCAGTATTTCTCTCCCCCATGTGTCTCTGCTGCGAGAAAGTTACTTCACTATTAGACTGACTTATGGGTATCAGTTGGATTAGCGCTTTCCTCGTTGTTTTAGATGTGGTATCCTCTGTCGATTCGTCGTCGATCGTCTACACCAGCGATGGCGACATAAACTGCTGTCGCCGGTGAAATCTATTCAGATTATGTGAAGAGTTCCTTACTGTCGTCGAATTATCCTTGTTGTTCTGTTCTTCCTGATATCTGTCGAGATAATTATATCATCCTGAGGCGGATTTCCCTGTGAGTTCCGAGAAGACAGACAGAAAAAGAACGAAAAACATTAAGCATTTAGCGTGACTAAAACAAAGGACTGCCTAATATTAACTTTCACGGAGGGCAAAAACAAAAGAAAAGTTACACACATGCATACGTACTTAACAGCATTTGACGCGCCATCTTAATAGTCCGAAATATGTTAGTAATCATTCTCTGTATTGCGCTCAACGCGCAGGTACGAGCTGACGAAATGATGGTACCCACAGCTGCGGAGAAGCGGTCACATTAACACGCACGTCAACTAATCGGATGGTTTTGTTTTTGTCTGTTCGAGCTAAACACTTGTTGGTGCCGACACTGCAATCAAAAAATGCACGCTCCAAAAGCACAAATCGGCCCCCCTCTCAGACAAAGGCTCACAAGAGCGGACGATTCTCTGGTCCGACGGAGCGCGCCGTGACACTCAGGACCTACTGAATAAGGGCGTTATCGTAAATGCTTGCTACCCGTCGCTAGCCCGCTAGCATGTTTGTAGCGGAAAAAGTGGAATTTTTCACAGCGGTGGACAAGTGCGGCCTACCGCATTGGCCCGACAGGCACAGCAGATGTGGACGGTGTGAGGAGGAATGTCCTCTATGCGCATCACATATTCGTCGTGCGTAGGTAGTTCACAGATTCAATGGTGACCATTAACTCGTGTCTGTGTTAACCACCTGCTGGGTGGAAATATACTACTACATATTAGAGCAGCTGGTGTCACGGGGGAGCAATGTGCAGTCAACAAACCCCACCCAGTGAACACGGTAATAAATACAAACGTGGATATGGCCTAGCTTGAGGTGTTATGATTATGTGACACGTGTGCAGAATAATACGAGCGGATACGTTTATATAGGTCTCCCGTCAACGTTAATAATGCCGATCGGACAGACGGGAGACGAGAAGTGTGATACGTATAAAACTGATAAAAAAAAAAAGCCAAATACAATTCCACATTTGTCGTTATAGCGCGTTACAGTTCCGCACATCGCCGAAATACCAGTTGATCTCAACATAAGCCACATGGTAAGAGAAGCCTACTACGGGTTTCAAAGTTCAGCCGAGTACCAGGTTAGATTGCTTGAATTAGAAAGTATTGTCAGTTCGTAATAGAGTTTTTGATGACGTAACGTCAACCTGCGTGCTTGCTTAATGGACCGTTGTAGAAACGTAGTACTCCAGTACAACAGAAACACTTTTGCTATACATTTTATTCGCAATAATTAGACAACAATTGTATCGTTAAGTTACATATTGGTGGTTTTCATATTGATGGTTGCTAGCTGCTACCGGCTGACGGACTACGCGCGAGACATCATTCGGACAACATTCGACCAAATCTCTAACTAACCGAGTTCTTGCGGTTTTTATTAGCTGCTTAGAAACTACTATTGCCCTCAGTGCAGTAGATCTACTGACATTGCTCATGTTACTCGAAAGATTTCATGTGTGTTTGACGGCCTTCGTGTGAAAGCATTTGGTCGGTTCCACAATGAACGGGATGTTAAAACTTTTCCAGTTTTAATCGTTGTAACAGCTCTAAAACGGTTTTTCTCTGTGGCCTAGAGAGATACGTTAATAAAACGGTAATAAAATATGTGGTAAATAATTTTAGATTTTGATGATGATTCATGCCCCGTATAAGTAGTACTTTAGGGTTGTTTAAGGCTTAGCGTAGCTAACTCGACAGACCGAATAGTTTGTGCTGCTTCATGATCGAATACCTAGAGGAATAGATATACCTAGCTGTATTCGATGCATTTTGTATCGGTGCTATACTCAATGGTGACACCTTTAATGTACGATGCTCTTACGATTCGATCCAAATTATCTAGCCGCGTTTGACAAATTATAGCTATCATAGTAATTGTTCGACAACGCTGCTTTTATCATATTCGATATTTTGGCGGTTTCTCTCCATCTCGGATCAACGCCATGCGGGAAATCTATTTTGACACACCGATTGGAAATAATTCGATGTCCGCGCATATTCATGCAACGGTGCTCACACAAATATCGAAGGCGTCGTCATAATGACACGGCACGTGCAGGCATGTTTACGTGCACATGTATGATGATAAGTCCACAAACGGGTTTTTGTTGCAAATTCCGTATTATGCCAGCGTCAACATACGGTAAGGGTCTAATCAGAATAGCGTTTTTCGCGCCTTCAGATACCGGCCGAAACGAAGCGAGCCCCGTCCTAAGGACTTTTACCGGTCCCAATAAAACTAGAATTGTCACATATTAAATTCGGGTGGTGGAAAAATCTTAAATGATTGGTCAATACGGCCATGATTAGCAGCAAAAGTATATTGTACTACATGCTAGATAACAAACGCCTGCATATTTAATATATCCCGCCTGCAATAATTTATTTAGGTTACCTATTATTTTTTTATTATTTAAAGGTATCATCAAGTGAACGCCAATACTCATAGTTTCTGCTCAAAAATCAACGACAATTTTTTATGCAGAAGCCATCACTAATAAATCGATTGAATGATCGACTCGCTGACTCGTATCTTTCTCAAAAAAATTTCAAAAGTTTTTGAAGCGATCTTTAGGTGATTTGCCATACATCTTATGTAAACATACATATGCTATATACGTCGCCTCAAACACACGGGCATACAGCGCGATCTGAAGCGAGACCTTTTTCCATAATGAAGTTTTGAAACTTTGAAGGCAGATTTACAAATCTATCAATCTTCTAAAGAGGTACATCTAAATCAACTCATGTAATAGCCGGCAAAGACTAGCTTATGGCAAGAGCGGCAAATGGAGCATCTATGTGCGTGACAACTGCTTCTTTGACAATGTCGAAAAATCTGTAAAATAATCCAGGAGGAGACGGTTCAGCCTTTTCCCCCTAGTCAAACGTATTACACACAAAACAGCTATAATTTTGCCGTGAAGTTTGGCTCACTTTGATGGCCTACAACGATGAAATCGTCAGTTTTGGCGCAAATGTCAAGACAGCCTCTTGCATATAAAGTTATGAAAAAATTGCATCTACTAAAAGCAGTGATCATTGAAATAAACCGAATCGTCGATTGCGTGCCTTTTGTCAGCTACTGACGAGCTAAACTTGTTATCAGCTAAGCAGAACAATTCTGCAGCAACAAATAGAAAGTATATGGCTGACTTTTTGGGGAAAACGCTTCCCCCTTACACGCGAGGTTCGGGCTTCTTTTACGTTTTAGTTTTTGCTAGATTTATTAGGAGGATAAGCGTTCACTGAAAATCAGTGACATCGAGACTTTTCTTATTCACTGAACAATTACACCTACACAAAAAACGAACTAGAAAAGAGCAAGCAAAAGGACCAGAAAGAGATAAACAAGCGAGGGACGAAACAGTATGATATGCTTTTAGCAGGATATTATCTGTGCCGATGTCTTTAGAAGTGAGTCAGTGCTGCAAACGGATGCTATTTACAAATGTGCATTCCGTCTGGCGAATAGCTGAGCCATTAGGAAAAATTACTTGCTAATATCATCACAAGCACGGCAGCGTCAATTACCAACGGTGATGTTACCTCTAACGTGAATGATCACCATGATGGCGGCGGCCTTGTAAGGGCGGAACAAACGGCAAATGTTACATTTGGAAGTGCCGCTCAGTTCCCAACTTTCGATTCAACAGAGTCTCAATTTAGAATACAGCCAGTTAGTTATTCTGTCCCAGAATACATTATATGTGATAAGGCATTTGAAAACGAACCAGCTGAGTCCTTTCCTTAAAACGAATAACGCTCAATTTTTTCAGAAATAGGCTTACGTCATAGAAATGGCTAATGGCAAAAGACTAACAACAAATTGCTAGCTTTGCCCGTATCGGCTCCGCGTCAAATTAGAAAAGCCGAAATTTGACAAAAGATAATTCTAACACTTACGCTAAACAGCCACGTGCGTACTTCAATTTTACGATGTTCTTCACTTTTATGACAGTATCGGTTCAACACATCCGTCAGTGTCAACCTGACCAGCTGGGACATTGTTTTCTGCCAAATAGGCACGTCATACATTTAAACGATTTGGATCGTGAATAAATGCAAATTACCTTTTTCAAAACACTGGCTTAAAATCTTCATAGCCTTGTCATACATATGTGTGTGTGTGTGTGTGTATAAAGCGATATGAAATTATCATGATCGAACGAAGGCGGGAAGCGATCGGCCAAGTATTCTACAATGATTCTTCTACTAGAACAGCGTCTACTAAATTTCTATGAAGAAAGTTAAATTTTATCGCCGGGACCCGTATGGCCCGTTCTCTTTTTTCTTGTGTCATTCGATTTTGATTTTCACAGGAGGACCCTAGTTTATTAATGTTCGTCTATGCGGCCTCACAGCAGAAGCTAACTGGCCAGCTGCTTGATCAAGCTTAGTCGGGCCGGGGACGGTAAATTCAGCCGTACAACGGACTGGACGGTATCTACAACGGCTTCGGCACCGCTAGATCTGCCGTTCCCTCGTATGTCTAGCCGAGGGGGGTGTTGTAACAATAAACGACATGTAAATGTAGATGGGGCCAACGATAAGCGGTGATCCCCTCCCGAGGGCTGAGAAAAGTCCGGGGAAAAATAATAAATATACGCCTATATAAATAAATGTAGATACGCGCCTTCGGTTCACAAAAGAAAAAGCAGTCCTACTATGAAGCAAAAAGAAGGATGTGCCCCATCCTTTGGACAGACACGGACGAATAAATGGCAAAACGTTGTATATTTGCATGCACTGGCTGGCGGGCCTGATGTTGCCAACGGTCGGCGTGGTACCGGCGTAAATAAACTGTATGCGAGTAGTTTTATTACAAGTACCATAATGGTGTTTTTTTTTTGGCGTTCAGTGTGCTCCCTGTTTTTCGATAAGTGTCGAAGAAGTCTTCAAATATTTTGACGTATCGGTTTATCTGTCATTGTTCACCTTTGTCTACGAAAATCAAAATGCGACCCTTGATTGCTACCGTAACATGTGGTGGATAATAGCACAATATGGGTACTGGATCGCAGCAATCGTGAGAAACAACCCTCAGCTACAGATGTCCTGAATGCGTCTCAGATGTGTGGTTTTTATCGTCGTACGTTTAAATATATTTAATGTAACACCATATATCGCCAACGATAATATACGCTACAACTCTACAACAAAGGGTTTGTTCGTTATAATAATATGTGAGTAGTCATCAAACATTGTCAAGCTTATATGCTATGATTTAGTATCGGTTTCAATAAAATAAATAATAATATAAATAAATAATAAAATATCAGTGCTAAAAACTCTGAAGCAAATGTCGTAGCATAAACCTCCTCAAAGCGCTAGAAGGTACGCTTGAGGCAACGCGTACCCTACTCAGACAGCCTGTTGCAAACCTATCCAATCCCATCAGCTGTTAATTAAAGTTTTATAACTAATTCTGCGTTCACGATTCTGCTATATACTGAATAGATAGAGGTAAAAATAAATCTAGGTCAGCAGCACGAATAGTTAGATAATGGAGGCCATGAGATGGCCGGATGAGAAGAGTTCAAGATGAAAAAAGTCGTCAGCATTACTCCTGCCGTTGTTGTAATTAAGGCAAATCACACAAATTAATCATCGATTCATCATCTACCGATCTTCGATCAACATTCGGCGATCAGTCGTGTTCTATTCAAAATACTAATGACTAGTTCTATTGTTATACACAGAGAATCGCTAATCGACCGTACGAAAAAAAGATCAGTTTGATTCACGAAGATCGCACGAGCCATGCATCGAAAATAGGCGATTTGGGGGACCGTTAGAATAATGCTGTCCCTTCAACAAACTACTTGGATCCATTATTGGACCCAACAACTAATTACATACAGATCGTTCATGCTCGATATACAATAATGAATCACTGGACTTTTTCGATTTTATACGAAGTTGATGCGTCTGCGATGTACGGCTTGAAGCAATGACTCTTTTTGAATTAGAGATTTAGCTACTGAGCCAACACACGAATCATATGAACGAAACGATACGGTACGTGTCTCACTCTAATCTCGTTTGATTCACAAAAACTACTGAACATTACGTTTCGGTGCTGCCCACCTCGTGACGCCCAACGTCGGCTATTGTAGGGAGACGACCAATTTAAAGACTTTACTAGCTATAGATCTATGTCTAAGAACAAGAGACACAAGGTACGTTTCGACCATAGTACTAACTAACGAATTTAAGCGGAGGGCTCAAATGTGACCACAACTAGAACGCGAAATGATTCAATCAGACAGCATCCGCTATCACTAATTCTTCTAAGTTGACTAGACAAGCACTTGGTTCGCTCCACATTTGTCATTGTCTACCTCAGAGCAATTGAGAGTCCAGCAGATGCGCGACTTCATCTCCCACACGGAATTGTCCCTCTTTTATTAATAATTGGTCTCACTCCAAAACGTGGCAAAGCTAAGGACATGCGCAGCAATTACCGATACGTTTCTAGCTTGTAACTTTGTCAACTTTATCTAAATTTCGAATCTGCTGAAGATTGTACATACCTACAATCGGTTGAGAAGCGTTGAAATATTTAAAATGGTAAATGAGATTGGGAATGTGTGTCAGTAATACACTTAGGAATAGTCACTACGCTGAACGGAGACGGAAACGCTAAAAACAATTTTCTGCCCATTCGACTATCTGGACACTGGCACACATTTACAAATGCAATGGAAATGGTTATTTATTCCCTGTTTATCTCTACCTCTATTTAATGAAGCGTAATGGTATATATTGGATATATATCAGCGATGAGATGCCAGTCGATCAAAATCAAAATGCAGTACCTGCACCCATATAGAGCAAGCAAAAATACCTAGTCATCTATAGAAGTAAACGGCGAACTCTCCACCTAACAGTCATGCAGCGATAACGATATCTGCAGGGCGACGATCAGAGCACACGACTATTAGACAATGCGTGTGTACAATAATATCTACAGGTAACAGATTATCTTCAGTAAGTCGTTACTGCTACTGAAATGTTCTTGCTGTTGAGAACGATGACAATGTTATATTTTACTGCGTGTTCTATATGTTTGTGTCTATGTATTTCCAGTACGGTACACAACGGACGCAGTATTCCACGACTGACGTTGACGTCGGACGACACTCGAATGTCGACGATCACTCAATTTTTTTGGAGGTTATCGGATTTGGCCTACCTTTATGGCCTTCTTGGACACCATTGGCATCAAGCAGAGATTGACAGTAATGCTATTGTTGCAAGTTTTCCAAACCATCTAAGAACGATCCCAACGCGCACTAAATATCCGAATAGATAAAAAAGCTTATTATAACTACATAAATTATGTATCATATACCACGTATTTACCTTAGTAACCGACTGTGGCAACAAGGAAAACTAGAATTAACGTTTGTTTACTCGTCTACTCATAAATTTTATTTAATTATATGGCAATGTGCAACTTCCTTTCTCGCGTATGCACTCTGCCGTCATTAACGTTGTCTTAGCAGGTGTCAGCCAGGATCGATGCCGTCTGCTCCTTGGCCGATTTCATCCTGCCGCCGCAACGTACTTTGCATAAGCAGCCGGCACTGAATGACGACTATTGCTGTTTCTGTTTAAATAAATCGTATCAAAGATATCATAATAATTTGTGGCCTCTCTATCCAGTAAAATGCCATCCTCGTATGTGCAATTGTCATGGACGAGCCACATACACTATAAAGAAAAAAACAGGTAGATGCGAGTACGCGCTGGTTTCTTTTCTCGGAATTTGTTGCACTCATCGTCAGTTAGATTGCTCGACTCGTTTCAGCGTTTCTTTTATCCTTATCGTCCATTCGCAGGTACAGAGGAGCGCTGCTAGTGACCTCATAAACGTATGGTAAAGATTAGTACGGTCTGCTGATGTGCTATACGAAAATTGGGCTGAACGAACACGGTCAGCACATAGAAATGCTGATTAGTAAGGCAAACGTGACCAAATCCAGCTCCTTCAATGTAGGCGGCGATCTTCAAAAATAACAGGAGAACAAGTAAACAAAATCAAAGACAATGTAATATCCAAAGATCAATATATGGGCAGAGATACTGTGTCAGTGAGACAAGCAAACGGCTACGGTGTAAATGGTTCGCCTGGTTGTCAACGCGGCTTCGCTGTCTGCCGACCACTGCAGTGGGATAGTAAGTGTAACTTATGGAGTCGCTATATAGTTGAGACAACATACTGCGCATATCATATAGCATTAGGCACGTACAGAGTCTAGTAACTAGCATTTTTTTTTCTGTGCGAACAGCGGAGGTTCTGATTATTACTGGCACAGGCGTGCGATCCATATCAAGCAGGCGGTGGTACACTTGTCCGTCTTTCCATGTCACCATGGGTAACATCGTCGTCAGTAACAGCAGTCACAGCCCAAGGCAACAACACGTGCGGCCATTCACTAGTTCTTACTTTAAGTGCATGCAGCAATGTAAGTAGATAGGCACTGAATTACGGCAACGGTATTGTTGCCACCAGCTGTACGTCTGACCAGGCACAGCTGCTGCTGACTTTTACCTATCAGGTTTTTCTGATTGGGTTGTGCCACTATCATGTAACATTATTAGTCACTATTGTTAACGTTTTTGGAGGTGTTGTTGTTGTTTCATGGTACTGATAGCGACTGCGGTTGACGCCATTGGGGCCTCGGTGCTGGCGTTTTGGTGATTTCGGTTACCACTGCTGCTGCTGTTGTTATTATTGGATTTTTAGCACTTGATTTGTTTAATAGAATCAATTGACAATTAGCGCGTAGCAAGCTAGCAGGAATAGAGCTCCACTGACGCCTAGTCTATGCAAGCAAACGTGTATTTTGGTTTATGCGCGCGTGTATTAACACGAAAAGCTTTATCATAATATTCATCTTGGTAAGAAAAAGAAGCAACATATATATGCGTTTGTACGGCCAAGATGTCGTTTTGTGATCAAAACAAATGTATGCCCATTAGACGAACGTACGCACGAAGTCCTGCTGAGGTAAAGAAGTGACTGTAATAGTTATTATAATTACTCTTCGTCCCTTCTTTGTTAGACCATCATCTAAAAGCGAAATTTTTCTGTAGCGTCATCAACAAATATGTATTGCCAACGATGTATTGAAACGATATGTAACAACGATGTATTGTATCTGAAAAAAAAAACAGTCATGGCTTAGAGACTACGGTCTTTAAGATAAAAACGTTTACTTGCTACTTCGTGGCATTGCTGCGCGTCTTGGTCGGCCTCTGAGTCGTCCGTTTTGCTGAACATGCAAGAGAGACTCCAACATGGCGCTTCGTACAATAACAAATATTATATAAGCGCAGCGTATTTATGAGACGTATGCGTTTTCATAGTTCGGTAAGCTGAGGCACGTGTACAAGTGATTTCATTAGACTCCTGTTAGGTTAAGTTGAACGTCAACTGAAAAAAGCAGTAATATGGTGACATGAACTATTCGACACGGTTGTCGTTAAACTAAGTGTTTAGTAAACAGAAGACAATACTATTGCACACAAACAAGAACATGTTACATTTCGTTCACAAGTTGCGCAGGACCAATTACGTCACGTAAACTAATCGGTCCTCCGAAACTTTTCATCCAACTGTTTTTGCTGTGGGTAGACTTAGAAGAAGTTTTTTGTTTTTTTTTTCTAGGGTTTGGCTTTAATTCGGAAATATCTGAGTCGTCAAAGATTGTACGAGCACTTTGAAGTTGAATAGCCCAGCGAAAAAAAACTATCGAGCTTATGCTGTCGCCCATCAAATTCATTCCAGCGGTAACGACTGGCCGGCGGGAGCGGACACGACTGCTCACGGTTACGCAAGACGAAGCACCCACTGTAGATCTCTTGATCCGTTACGAGCCCACTAAAACGCGGCCCTCAGGGAAGCCAAACGAATACGGTTAGAGACAACATAGATAATTACTAAGCAACTTACCTATAATAGAGCAGTGAACCCACATCTATAAGCCGACTACTAACTTGAGCAACATTAACCTTTACTATGGGCTTGTCCAAAAGGCCGACACTTTAAGAGGGTCATGCTTCGGCATCAGACAGTCAAGACCGACCAGTTTCGATGACTGAACACACGCAAAAACAGTTTAACTCCCTCTTATAGTAGCTATTTTCGACTAAATTTTACTCATCTGTCTACTGATGGACCCAAAACGGAATCTACCTGAGCTGGAACAAGAACAGTGCCTTGGCCGATTGGATCAATGTTCAAAATTCTGTTTGTTTTTAATCAAGGTTTCAACGCAGTCAGGCATTTGTTTTTTTTTTGGTTGTCTACAAAACTGGTTCCTTCGCGCACTTTACGGCAATCACAATGATTCTACTATAATAACAGTGTAAAAACTCTGAGTTGTATGCACTCACTCTTATAATGTGTTTTCACCCGTTTTTCATTTACACTATCGAAAATAATGTAAATTTCATCGAAAAAAAAATGTTGGTGACCACAAAAAATTCAGGAAATAAAATTCAGACATTTCGAAACCAGTGTTACAATAATGCCGCAGATTGTTTGTATCTAAGCTTATATACCTGAAAATATGTAACTTAGTACTCTGTTTATAACTGTTCTGATTAGACTAATAAGGCTCCTATGCTAGTTTTTTTTTAATCTATTATGTGCTCAATTTAATATGTCCTAAATAACTAGATTTAGCTTGGCTTAAAACTTCCGTACGAGTTTAGAGCTAACGACATTTTCGGAAAAATTCATGTTAACAACGAACGTGTATTTTTTACAGGCCAGTAAATTATTTGCCTTCATTAACGAAAATCATTATATCTTTATTAAACAAATTGAACTAAAATGTTTAAGCATATAAAAAAACAAGTTTCTATCTGTTCTATTCTGCTTCCATCAGCATTTCGTTTTCTCCGTTGCAGGACCCGCTTAAAGATGGCCGTCATATAAACATGAAGTGATTGATGCAACGCTAGTTATGTTCCATCATATGTAATATAGAATATTGAAACTATAATGATGTGCCTAATGTTCGCCTCCACATCAGCTTGCATCACGCATTGCTCACTTTGACTTTGAGCTAAAAACTTTAGACGTATTAAGCAGGTTCTTTTTTTAGAAGAAGTCGCTATAATTCCTGTCCCGCTTTCAGAGCGTAGTCCTCAAAGGTACTGTTGTCGTCGCGTACTAATGGTGAACATGAAAAACAGGGCTAGAAGCAAGAAGCAACCATGTCTCACTTACACCATATGGATAGAAAACCCACAATGAGACTGCCCGCAGGAAAAACGCGAGTCCTTTCCTCCATATATACGCAGCGTTAGCAAACATGATCCGTCTGACGGAGCAGCACTACCTTGCCGCCGTTTACCGCAAGCCAAACTTTTCATTCGAATACAAATAACGTGCGATGATACACGATGAAACTGAGAGTCAACTCCGCTAACGTTACCAACATGAACAGTCAGTCTATCCTGCTAGCCATAGGAAGCACTATACCCAGCGCCTGCTGATCGTAAGTCCAGTTGTAAATCCTTATAAGACGTCTCGTTCTACTTTGAAAGAGTTCGTACACTTATTCATTTTTCCGCTTTTGATTCAAGTTGCTGCTCGTAGCGCCGGGTGGACATAGCTGCTCATAGTTGAAATTTGCCCGGAATGGCGTAGACAATGACAGGCAAATAGTGAGCTTTTGTTACCAAAAATGATCTTGTTTTTGCAATCAATGCGCACAGGCACACATAGTTTTCGCTTGGAAAGTGTGACCTAGGCTCGAATATTTTCTTGGGCATATGCAATAAACAGAGTAGGTGTAGAGAATATCGTAGGGCAAAAAGATATCACGCATAAATGTCATGATGGAGATCAAAAAGCAGTCGGATTCGGTGCCATTATTTCTCCATCGTCGTATCCATATGTTAGTATTACTTTGTGATATTTGGAACAGAATCTACTACCAAGACGATAACATGAGATTTAACAAACTTATGATTTACTTTAGTAATATCAGACCCTGGTCGTGAATTGTCTCGCTGCACTGTGTATCTATAACAGGTAACGGTATACAAGTCGGCTATGCCCAATGAGAGCAGCAAACACGTTTGGGTTTCACTTCGCAATGACATGCACATTTGACGAATGTTACTGAAAGTTCCATTGTCCGTAAAACCATGTAACCTCAGCTAACAAACATCGAGCTTAAAAAAGTATGTCAGGTATCTACACATATTTGCATGAAGTTTCGCCATAAAAGAGTTGTCAATTTTCCGCTCCGCATAAGGTTTGCTCGTAACATCTCGTCATAAGCTGAACGGTAACAAGTAACAATATACCCAAATCGTGGTAGGAAACTGTGCGTAAGCTGTCATCAATACATTCCGTCGTTCCGACCGTTAATCACGATGAGACTTCGGCACCACAAATTGGCAGAATAACAAAAACGTAGCATTTGTCTCAAAATCACGTAATCGTTTATTTTTAACGTAAAATACTGTGTGAAAAACGACGATACACGTGAAGCCGGTGCTAAGTGCACTTTGTTTTGACAGAATGAGAATGAAAATTCTACCATAGTCATTATATATATAACTGAGGGCCCGTGTCAAGATATAATTGATGATCAGTCTAGCACTACGATGTTTCAAGGTTTATCTCTTTACAACAGTTTCAACTAGAAATGCCGACAAATTCGACAACATCGGTACGCTACGATTATTCTGTATGAAACGGTTGTTCTAGCCGGGATGTTAGAATCGGTCATGGAAACGACAGTGATAGTTATGGCTAGGCACAATTTGATTGTAATAAATTTGCCTGTATTCTAGATAATGGCACGATAGATAGCATCGTATGCCGTGCGAAGCTTGCTATAACAAATGTCTGGAGGGTATTAACGAATCTGTTATGAAAAGGGTAATCTGCTAAGCAATAAAAAAAACCTAAGCACATAATAACTAAGAGAGATTATCGTGATGTTATTATCTGACCCCCTTTATATATTAACCTTTCAGAAATAATCGCAGTAATAGTTAAGCTTCAACGAGGCGTGCGTTCATTTTTGTGCACCAGGTGACAGCAGTGCTCACCTCCATGAAAATACAGGCGCCTCCAAACAACCCTGACAAATAGCCCATTACAATTATTATTGGATTTATTGCTGAGCGTCGAGAGATTCTTCTGTTAATATTCTACGTACATCTGTAGATTCATCATTCTGTATGCGTTGTAACTGCCGATCAAATGAGACTCTAGAACACAAATCCTTTGTGACTCCTCGAGCCCCGCCAATTGGATGCATATCGGATCACCAATTTAGAGCTATGGAGCTAGCTTATACGTGAAACTCCTTTGTTAATTCGCACAAGAACCAGAGGACTGCACGAAGCCGGCTGAAAACGCATTTCGTTCCGTACTGGGAAGCAGTCTTCTTTACGGCAGCATGAAACGTACCACTTCAAGCATTTATATAGAGTACTATTCACTGAAGGAGCACATGGCCTAACGGTTTCGATTTCCTGCTTCTCCGCAAAGCTTGCGCTTGATCACTTGGTCTGTTCGTTCATCTGTCCAGCAGTAGACAATCGTATTGTGAGAAACACAATAGAATCCGATTATTAGAACCGTTTTAATAAACAGACGCAGCAACGTATGAAAAGGCGGCGACCTAGCCTTTGTCATCTATCGGCACTGATTAGAAGGCACACAGTCAATTCCACAAAAAGCCAGGCACAAACCGTTGTATCGATTATTTATATGATATCATATATATATGTATATATGATAGCAATCACGTTTACTTGGCTTTAAACAGTAAGATTGATTCTAGTTGATCGTTTGCAGTGTTTAAACGAAGTTCTATATAGCAAATTCTTCCCATTGTGTATTTTTTTCATTAAATATATGAAGATAGTCAGTATTAATTCGAAATAGAATGCAAGAGAGTTATGGCGACGATGTTGAGAAACTTTCCTTTAACACCAGAATAAGAATAATCACTTCCCATATTTATACCACCGCTAGAATGCAACACTCGACTGTCTGCAGTGGTCTTCAATCACGCGTAGACGCAAACTATTATTGTCTTCAACGAGTTAACCAAATCATCGTTATGAAAAAAATATAGATTTAAAAAAAGCACTTGAATGAAGTAGACAGACACGACAGTATCCGGTTTAATACAATGCTATATTATTACCAACGCTGCCCATCGGCTGGACTAACAGCTGGGGCATATCTAGCACCAGTGGTGTGTTACCGTATCTTCTGCTAATTGTTACTTCATCAGTAGTATGCTCGACAGAAATAAGATCGATGACGGTTGATTTGCCGCTACATTTCAATCGTGCAGCCAACGTCCTCCGTCTAAGCTAAAGTTATCACAGATTTTCATCTCTGAGACCCCTTCGTCCCTGTTTTGCCATGGTCTCAGCACCTCCCGATCACTGCGGAAATAATTTATTAGTTAGCGCTGTTATTATTTTTACGTTTCATTAAAGAGGAAAATATTCTATTTTACTACGTTCATTCACGTACAGAATGGACCAGTAGACTTATACCCAGGGAGACATCGTCTGAGAGTGTCATTTGTTGCGCTAACGAAACGCCAAAATTAAGACAAAATCCGGGCCGCCAGGTTGATACTTGCACACTTACGCTCATCATCCGTCACGGCATCAGTAAACCTTGTGGGAGAGCATTCTTGTAACATGTTAGCTCCAATGCAAAATACAAATAATTCAGTGACACTTTGTCTTCAAAATACTTGCAAATACCGCACATTTTCTATTAAATAAATTGCATGAAAACAAACTATTTACAAGAGTGGTCTTTTCATATCTGTTATTACTTCCGATTTCAGAGATATTAAAGAATACTAACGATCTCATCAGTTTATCTCACTCTGTTCCAGCGATGCTAAAGGTGCCGAGCTCACGGCGCTATAATCTGAAACTCCGAAGAGGTACAATCGATCCAACGTAGCTGAAACGTGGACCATTTTTCATAGCAGACACAGCAACCTAGACGAATCATATGCTTTTCATGTAGAGCGCACACTTGTTGCTACGACGTATATAAGAAACGGGGATTTTCGATAATAAAACCACGCACATGTTGCTACACGTTGACCAGTATAATATATAGTGGAGAAAAACGAATTAGAACAATTACGTTAGCTCTGCTCAATTTCTGCTTTACCGCGAGCTTTACTAGAATAGCCATGTCCCTAAACTGACTATTGCAAACACGAAACAGCTGGGCAGCCATGTATCTATATATATATACTCGCTTGTCTGTCTGTTTATACAATATATCTTCGTGATAAACATCGGAAGAGATCATACCCAAATGATAAGGGGTTAATATACAGCCAACTATTCGAGCCAAAAAGAAAATCGAAAAAATCTGTCCTAGTACACGGGTGATTGGCTTGTCGCCAGATAACTTATTCGTACCAAGAGTAACTTGTCCAGACAACAAAGTTATATGATATTAACACGTTATCCTATAAGTCTACAGCTTCTCATCAACATCAAAGCTAACACACGTAAATAGAACAGTTCCAGCTCGTACCCGTTGACGCTACTGCGGGATCAATATAATTGCAGTTGCCGATTCTACTTTGCAAACAAACAAACAAACAAACTAAAGCAAAAAGTTAAGACATGCCACTGACGAACTTGAGAAGGGGCTGTCTGTCCTATTTCGCGCACCCATATATATATATATATATGCACACACGTATACTGTGTGATACGTACACAATGACTCTCGTAAATCGAAAAATGTTGATCGCTCTTCATTATAGCTACTTGATATATTGGAGAAATTTTTTAAATTATTACTGGTGTAAAGGCTATACCGAAATCAGCTAGCTTGCAATAAATAACATAAAAAGTAAACGCCTTGTTTCATGAGGCACGAAAATGTCCGAAAGTAAATTACTAATATAACGTATGGTATTTGCCAATAATTTAAGCCTGGAAGCTATAAATCTACACCATATTCTGAAATGTGTCAAATGATTGTTGACACCTGTTATAGAAACAACCGTCAAACGAGTCCTTACTGTCTCAATTCTGATTAGTCTGTTCTGTTTCACGTGCGACCTATACTACAACGGCCTAGATTGTGAAGCAATACTCATATGAAGAAAATAACCATCTGGAAAATTTTCGCCCCATGCCAACATGCACTCACAATGGTAATTCTTTAATTGGTAAAAAATTAACCGCCTATTTCTCTCCCCATTTGATTCAGTCAACTTGGTACAAAGCACTTTTTAATCGGCGCTTGTTCCCCGACCGGAAGTTTCGTCTCCGACACAGTTAAGCCCACCACCTCACAAATGCCGTGTAGCGTGCCGCATAAAAAAATTAATCGCCAAAGGGCAATTTCACCCAAGTTAAAATATCTGACAAAGTCCGAAACTCGCATATGGGGCGGGGACGATTGATTGTCTCTACTCTCGTGGATGTTCTGCTTGTTACTTTGAATGTAACGTGTGTCCTAAGCTTTTTTTTTTCTATTCGATCGCATTGTCAGCTGAATCCGATCGATGAACATTGATTATTCAGTTCATAGCGACAGGCGTATTGATATAAGCAATTTGTGTTTAAGATTTCGACCAAGTTTTTCCTTTTTTTCTTCTTTTTTTTTTTATATCAGCAAGTATTTCATTTAATGTATGTTTTTTCTTCGGATTTTGCTTGTATCGTTGCCGTGTATCAGTTCGATTCTTGCTGCTGCTGTTTATTTCTTTTTTTTAGGCATTTAATTCGTCCCTCACAATGAACGGGAATATTCGGTCAAATGGAGACGCTCCACAAAGTTATCGAAGCATCCATTTCTATAATGAAATATCTCCACGTTACGAAATGGAAGAACCCGTCATGAGCTGGTGATCGTAACGATAGCAGATTCTTTTTTCGTAATCTGCAGGGCCTAGTGAAGTATTCAATAATGACCCCGCATGAGGCAAAAACAGACGCTACAAAAAGTCAAACTATCCCGTAGGTACATTTGGACACACACAAATACAGATGTGCTTTTCAAACTAATGTAGGTAGGATCTCTTTGAGTCTTTTTCAACGTTTGCTAAGTCAATTTCTCTATCTCTACTATAACAATATTTCAAATAGCAAAAAAAAATTGAGGTTATGTCTTTTGGTTTTTTACCTATGCTTTGGCTCCGTACCTTCTTCGACTCGATTTAATGCACGTTTCAATGTTCTCAGTTTCAACACGACAGATGATCGCCCAACAAGTATGCATGTTCCACTCTTTGACTTGCTATCCGTTATATGGTAAACTGTTTATTTACACACGTACATAGTAGAACGTGCAAAGCAGACCCGTGACAGAAAATATGTAAAGTATCGAGTAGCTCTAATGCTTAGATCCGTTTCCTCTACCAACAAACGTAGGCTTTAGCCTATCTCTATGCAATGGGTTAACACCAGTCACCCCTCTTAGACTATCAATCTGGACTATATAAGACTGGGTAATCGGGCGATCCAGCTCGTACGCGCATCCCATCGCGCGACCCTTATCATTGCCACTCAACGTGAGTATCGGATAGCGTCACAACAGAAAAGCAAGTCCAAAATAGAATTCTTGCACTTTTTAAGGTTTTAAATACTAATAGGCTAAAGCTCAACCGACTTGATACAACTCGTTAGCTTTTTATCTCCAGTGTAATGGAGACATGGAGGACATGAGACCGTTGTCTCACAAACAAAAAAAAAAAGACAAGAAAGGCACAATAAATGCAAGCGATTTTGCCTGCAAAGATTTAATCCTTATAGAGCGCTGTAGATTATTTTTAGTAGACTGTCGGGGAGCCGTTCATAGAACGAGATGTAAAAACAACGTGAATAAATTAATATATCTATATATATATATATATATATATATATATAACGTCGACCTTAGAAAAAGAGGAGTATTACTTGATATTGACATTTCCAAAGCTTAGTTGCTTTATCCATGTTTGTTTGAGCAATTTCCAAATTGATTTGTAATCAATCGTCGTACTTTTTTTAGTACGACGGTCAAACAAATTACATTAGTATCACTACCGCGTAGAGAAAACAACGCCGTAGGAATCGTACCGTGTATCGCAATTACGATACAGCTTAGATGAAAATTCCCAAAGGGTTCATATTGGACATCATCACATGTCATCCATATTACGAAGACATGAGTCAGCCCATCGACAACTCTAGTAGTTTTCAGCTCCACACAGAAAAGCCGGCGGTTTTCATTTGCGGCTATACCAGGAAAGGCGTAGTTTCTAAGCTTTCACGACACAAACACACGCTAGCTCACTGCTCGAATAAACAGCCGTCATCGGTGTTCATTGACACAACCAATCGGACCGTTAGCAGGGGCAGAAACATTACGTCTACATAACGATACCTGTTTGTCCCTGCACCCTCGTATGTCCTTCACCTTGACTTTTTGCTGTTAGGGCCAAGCGCAACAGCGACAAGATGTATAGTAGCAATCACTCTACCTTCTACTTCGGAATCAACTTCCCGAATTTCCAAAGGTCTACCCCCGCCTGCCGCAGTAAAAGTTACGGTTGGCATTGCACATTTGATCGATCGCTATTAGTCGTGGATAATGAACACGATCAATTGGGTTACTTCAAACTTACGCATGAGATCACAACTACAACGACATTTTGACCACACTGCGGGACCTTTGTTGTTTTAAATAGCAGCACGAAGAATGTTAATTGCTGCGACTTCCATTATCTTTCAACGTTTTGTGTTTAGTAATGTTTGTTTTGCCGGAAATGTTTCACCTGCTGCGATGAGATTATAAACCCGAACTGTACGATCGATTGTGGTTGAACCTCTGTCGATCAAATAATAGAAATTCATTTAGCAGATGGATTGTTGTATCTTGCTATTAAGTCAATCGAAAAAGAGTCTTCAAGTTTTGCTTTAACACCAGCCACTCACGACCGTATTCCATCGAGAAGGCAGTTTTACATGGCCAAAAAAAGAAACCGTAGCAACGCGTTTGGCGCTGGGGTGCAGATCTTTGACAGCATCGATTCGCATGGCAGATCGCCAGTAGTAGCCAGTTGGTCTGACACTATTTGCTCGTCGAATACCGCTCTGTCTTGCCTGTCGGATTCGTTTGCGATACCGGATCAGCACGCGGCAACAGCCATGAAGGTAGCAACCAAATGAAAAATCAACAACAAATAACAGTATTAACCCCCGCCCCCAAAAAAAGCAAATTGGGCAGCTACGCAGCGCTTCGGGCAGCAGCACTGGCCATCGCAGTAGCCGCAGCAGAAGTCCCTGATCCCCAATGTTACTTTTGATGTTAGTGGTGCTAGCAAAGATCTGCTCTCGCTTGCTTCTCTCTCGCAATCTCCGTCTACGCGACTTCATTCGACGTCTCACCAAAAAGTGCCCTATGTTAAAGAGTGCCCTATAGTTTATGTTGCTGACTTGCCGTTGTTTAACGACCATGTTTATGGTCCACAGACCATGAACTGACGAGCGGTGATGTCTGTAAATCATCGCGTAGAGTCTGATCCTGGGCTATGTTTACTGCGTGAGGTGCACACAGAGTCTGTCGCTATTGTAGTCTAAAGCCGCTCGTTAAAGACACTACATATCTCCGCACCCATGACGATACTATTGGGTATTGATCATGCTACATTATCGTGGCCAAACCTTGTACCAATGGCCGAGCAAAATCAGCTTGTGGGCGCAAAACTGGTGATGCGTCAACTAATCGGTGAGCGTGCTAAAACTATTGATAGAAATCCACTAACATTGGCGAAAAACGAAAGCCGAACGGTTTCACACGTAAGGAAACGGAAATCATTTGCTGTGCTATTTACTCAGGGGGCTTTATCAACGAACAGACGACTACTTTTACCTCAAGTTCTTCATTTACCGCTTCAGCTTTCAGCTCCTCTTTTTTACAACTTAAATAGAACACTAAGAGCGTGGTCAATTTTTCTGTTAGTGTTTCATAGTTTACCTAGTCGTAAGTGTACGATATACTTATTATTGTGGGTGAAATATTATTCTTTTTATTCGAGTGGATTCATTCATTCGTTGTCCAAGCAAGTATCATTCCCACGTTTTTTTTAGATCTCTTAATCGCTCAGACCATCTTTTCTTATTAATATAAACCGCCCATAAATCTATGTACATGTGTGACCTGCACGAATGATTTAGTCAGCATTATAGACTTTCGCATACTCATACCTATCTGGTGCCAAACGGCGCCTGGATCTTTGCCAATGTTCTCCTCTGTCATAAAACCAATTAACATATTAGCATCCCCTGCAGAAAAAAAGACCAAATCGTACGAGAGACACTCTCGGAATAAATGAAATACAGATAACTCTGTCCCCAAGACAATATTATGATGTGCACCATCTACCTATAAGGTTTTTCTTACGTCCACTCAACAACAAGTATTTGTCACCGCCTATCAGGAATACGGGTTCTCACATCAATATTTACTCGATATCTTATGTACCTGTATCAACTA